AAAAAAATATTGGTGCTAATGTTACTGTAAATATTTTTATCTTTAAACTAAAAATAAACGATTATTTTGTTTCTTATTTATTTTAGGGTTATGCTCGAATAGAAAAGCACAATGAAGCAGATCTCCAAGCCGCGATTGCTGCAGTTGGTCCAATAGCGGTCTCTATCGATGCTGGACAAGGTTCATTTCAATTTTATTCGCGAGGAGTCTATGATGAACCTAATTGCTCAACAAAAAGACTCGATCATGCCGTTTTAGCAGTTGGATATGGAACATTAAATTCAACAGATTATTATATTGTTAAAAATTCGTGGGGTGTCAATTGGGGAATTCAAGGTTACATACTAATGAGTCGAAACAAACAAAATCAATGTGGAATTGCTACGTCAGCTCTTTATCCACTAGTTTGAAATAAAACATTCACAAATGACCTACTTAATTTTAACTTCTAAAATAAAATACAAAGTAATTTGTCTCTGTCCTAGCAGAATCTTGAGGAATCTCATCTAATTGCAGATTAGAAAAGCTTATTCCTAATAAAATCAACAGTTACAGTAAAACGTCTCTATAGTGAACGTCTAGCCTACAAGAATACAACATACAAAGTACGATGGTATATACTATGAAGTGTCTGAAAGGTTTTTGACATATTGTTACTTCTCTTGAAGTTGTCAGTATATGGTCCATCTACTTGTTGACGAACTTGGCATTCTTGTAGAAAAGTATTAGAGATGGAAATGTTTTGACCACGTTGAGTTTTGAACTATCCGTATACTTTTTGATTATATTGTTAATTATATTCGCCAAGTAGACTGTACTTCCTGTTCATTCAATACACTATCCGCTAAGGCCTTGTATTCTTCTGCTAATGCACAATGCGAAACGTTTTCTTCATTTTCAACACTTATTTATGTTTTTCAAAAAATAGTAACATGTGTTTTATTGTCGTTTCACAATTGTAATTAGGTAAAAAAGTGTGTTCTTCTTGTACATACAATCAATCACCGACTACTTATTTTAACTATTTCTATTGCTGAATAGACCGCACATGAATCGAGTTATAAACGTCGGTCAAGTCAGCATCAGATTCGATAATTGCTTTCCCCATTCGCTATTCCATCTGAGTTGACTCTGAATTTGGTTGAGTTAGATGCAGAATTTAATTCTAAATCGAATGGTGACATTTTCAAAATAGGTTATCGGCTAAAAAAAATACCTGTTCGAGTTAAAATACTGTTTTTTCGAGAAATTGGGACCTATACTCCCTGTCCGGATTCGCTATTTCATCTGAGTTGAGTCTAAACTTGATTGAGTTAGGTGTAGAATTTAATTCTGAATCGAATGATGCTATTTTCAATCGGTGTTATCAAGGAATATGTGCCAGCTGTATCCATATTACAGGTTTTTTCTACATATGATGGATAGCATTTCTAGATATTTCTTATTTTGATTTCGGTACGTAGTTGGGTTGATATAGGAATTCGTTGAGTTAGTTTTAGAATCCATTACTGTAGCGAACAGCATCACGGGTAGGATTAATCTTCGTGGTCGAAATACTTGTGGTCCCACTGCCCCTTCTGTACTCGCTTGTTATGGCGATCCTTCAAATAGTTTGTTTTTGAGTAGTGAGTAATGGTGAATGTAATTATTGCTGCTACCTCTCCTTTGTAATTCAGTGATTGTTCGTTCAGTGTCCGTAAATTGTTTGTGTTGTCCTTTTCTGAAATCAGGCACGTTTTTGTGTGAAAAGTGCAGCGTATATAATTTTTTATTGCCGTAAAAATGTTATTTGGATCAAAGAGTTGATATCCACATTATAATAGGAGAGTGTGTGGATGTGAGTGTAAGTCTTCTCATCACACTCACATCCACAATCTAATGCGAAGTTGAATTTTTATGAAAGAACATTAACAATAATGAACACAGTAATATTTCAATAATAAAGGCTAACGAGGAGACCGTCCCAGGTGTCCCCCTCCGATTTCCTTCGTTTACGTGCCAATCGGTAGAGGATATCGAGATGGTATAAAGCCTAAATGGATTTGCGCTGAGTCCTCTTTCTCCAAAAGTTATGGTGATTTTTCGTTTTTTCTCACGTCAGCGAAAAACCCGACAATTTGAAAAATTCAAAACTCAGTCAAAAATTGACATAAACTCTTGAAATTTGCAATATAGTGAGCTCAATATACAGACTCTCTTTGCTCAAAATTTCAGATCGATCAAGCATTCGATCCCTAAGTTATAACACTATATTTCTCTACAGAAAGAACAGCCAACTTTCAGTCAGTGTTTTTTTTTTCAACTTTATCAGCTGTTGCCTGTGAATGAGTAGCGTTG